GTTATCCTGCACTATCTCGATTGTGCGCTGCACACGGACATGTCCGATATTGAGCAATATTACATGAAACCGCCAGGTGAGTCCGAATTCCCAGAGAGCCTTCCTTCCCAGCCTGCTGGGGAACATGGCTGCTCCCTGCTGCTGGAGCCTTTTCCTCCTGTCAGCAGCACTGAGCAAGCTCAAAAGTCACCAGAATGCAGCTCTTTAGCCACACCAGCCACAAAGCCATCTTCAGTTTTGGTTTGGTTTAGGCTTTTTTCTTGTTTGGTTGGTTGGGTTTTTTTCTTTACGCCTCCCAAGGTGTCTAGTCATCCGAGGCAGCCTCTGTCTGCCCCCCGAGTGCAGCACTGCTGGGTCCACAGCCAGACCAGGGACTGGGGCATAGGTGCTCAGGGACACTGAGGCTGGAAGATGCAGGTTATTCACTGCAGGTTGGGTTCACCCCAGCCCTTATGTCTCCAGCCAAGTGTTTCTTTGCTCCCTGTGGTTGGTATTAGCTCTGACAGCAGGAGGCGGAGGAGATGAAAGGCCTTTTACCCCAATGCTCAGAGGAGCCCATTTTAGCTATTGCACCCATTTCCCCATATTATTCAAGAACATTCCTTAATGCAGGTGTTTTGGAAGAGGCACGGTTCAGGTATGTAAAGGGATGCTGCATGGGTTTGACATAATATATGTTCACCCATTTGTTACATATATGAACATACAAAATACAGTAGCTAATATTTGCTTATTAAGCGGTAAAAGATGTGTCATTATTAAAAGGGAAAAGAAGCCCCTTTAGAACCTCTCGGGTGCTATTCCTGCTTTGTAGGCATGCACCCATGTTGAGGACCGGAGCAGGGGGGTGTCTGCGCAGTCACTTGTGGTTTGAGGTTTGCTTTTGGTGGTTGCACAGTGCTAGTGGTGAGCTGGGAGACCAATGCAATGCCAGTATTCCACCTTAGTTCTCTCTCCTTGGGTACCTACTGTGTTGTTTCTCCATGTGAGCATGGTTTTGCTGTATCATTGCTGTTCCCCAGGTGTGACAAACCTCTTCTTGGGCACTTTTAGAGGACTCCTAGGAAGTACCGCAGCCACAAACTTTCCCTTGTTTTTAATGTGCAGTGTTACATTTTGCTAGAATGTTGCTCCTCATGAAATGAAAATGCCCAAACAGTTTAGGCGCACTTGCTTTAGATTTAATTTCCTGTCGTGGTATACAGATCTTCTACAAACCTTGTCCCACCTTACACACAGGGTGTGTTTCATTTACAGGACTTGTTTTTGTAAAAAATTAAATGCTGTGTGACTTGTATTTTAAAAGCTCCATCTTCATTAAAGGTGCTGTCGCAGAAATAAAAAGGTTCATAGCGAAATATTTCTGTACCTTTGTAGTGAGG